GGAGATTCATGATCCTTGAGGTCCCTTCCAACCCTGGCAATTCTGTGATTCTGTGATTCTGTGATTTGTCCTCCTTGGACAGGTCAGCATCCTGCCAGACCCAGGGCTGGGAGAGGCTGGTCCTGCAGCATTGACAGAGCCTCCATTTAGATCCAAGCAGGGGAAAACACCTCCGACCAGCTCGATGGGCTTCTTCCTCACCTACTTGCTCCAGTCCTGCTGTGGTTCTGCTAGGAAAGGTTTGCAGAGAATGCTGATCTCCCCACTGCTGTCAGGCAGAGGGAACTGCAGCCCTGCAGGCAGATGTTTGCCTTGGAGAGCGCTTGGGGAAACTGCACTCCAACACTGATTAGCTTACACCTGTTTCATTTGACTAATTAAAGTCACTACGCATGATGGAGAATGGAAGCAACACATACAGCCTCCTCTCCTCTCTGCCCTCCCTTGCTGCAGTGAGACAGGGAGCAGACATGGGCTGGGAGGGTCCCAAAGCAGCCGTTCTGCTGACAGGTTTTATTTAAGGAGCATAAACCAGTCTGATAGGCATCATAAAGCTGCTTTTTTTGTCCCAAAGTGCACTCAACATCTTACTCTGTATTAAGCCATCAACTTCAGCAGCACGCTCAAAAAGAACACTCCACACTGATAAGATCAAAAAGCTTTGGGTTTTGTTTCATAAGGAGGTTGCTGCAAACTCCAGATACTTCTTGAAAGCAGCAGTAAATAAAGGTTTCAAAAAAAAACGGGAAAAGAAAAAGGAAAGAGAAAAAAGGACAGAAGCAATGGAGCTGCACACAGGCAGAGCGAGGTAGATGTGCAGGTCTGCAGGGGAGCTGCTGGAAGGAAACACTGGTAATGATTCTTTGCACAACGCATTGTGATTTGTCTTTTTTTATGTTCTCTATATACTAAATTGATTAATCCCAAGATAAAACACCTCCTGCCCTCCTGTATCTCATGTGCTGCTGTTAGCAGCTCCTCCAGGCCCCAGGGCAGTATTTCTTCCCGTTTCACACTGCCTGATCAATTCCATGTCAACCAGGCAGACATTATCACCTTTCCCCCAGCAGAATTTGAGACCAGGATGGGAAAAATAATACCACAAACTATCACCTTGTCCTGGAGTATTTTGCTTATAATGCTGGTTGATATAAAAGAAGCAAGTCTAAAACTATTTATCTCTCTCTGCTTTCATGAGGAATACAAAAAAGACCCGGGGTTATGGTTCTGTTGGGCAGAAATTGATGCCTGCTGCTACAAGGCTGGTAGTGCAGAACACTAAGGACTACACCAAACACACACATAACGTATTAGAAACCTGTCTGCCTTACGTTAAAAGCAAGAGATAAGCTCCCTGCACCTCAGAGAAGAACTGTGTTTGATCATGTAACGCTGACTCTGTGTGTGGGAAACCAGGGAGGAGAAAGGGAAAATATTGATGGCAAAAACAGCTCCGTGCAGCTCACCTTGACCTCGATGAAGTCTGGTTTTCCGAGGGACACCAGGTCAGCATAGGCTTTGAGCTCATCCACATTCCAAGCTTTCACCAATGTCAGCCTATAGACCGTGCGCTGTTGCTGGAAAAATAAAAAATAAAAAAGGAAATTACATCAGCAACACTGACACAGGGATGATGATGATCCCATCTCCCACACTGCTTTTAAGAGGAAAAAAGAACCCATTTGTTTATTCCAAGAAGGCAGAGGGTAAAACAGAGCAGACCCAGACCCAGAACCACCTGACTTGTTGTCTGAAGGAGGCAGCTGTGAGCCAAGCAACTTCTGCTCTGCAGAGCCTCATCATCTCTCTATAAAACCCAGGCACTTCATTTCCACGGGAGCTTTTGCTTAATGGGAAAATAACCAGGAGGTTTCTCTTTGATTTGCTTCCGCAGGCATAAAATCTTCCCATGAGCTGCTCTGCAGCTGTTTTCTCTCCTCCAGCTGGATCGCCTGGCTTGGTCACTGCTGAGAACACTGAGAGCATTGCCTGATAATTCTTCCAGCACATTAGGTACAACACAACACGGCAGAGAAAAGACTCTCCTGTGGTTGGTCATGCAGAATTTTATCGGAAGCACAAAGCGACCATTGAAAATCCCAACCAGGAAACACTGGCAATGCCCCGTGCTTATGATTCGCTGTCAAAAAGAGTGCAGAGCACAGCACACCAGGAACAAACACGGCATGAACAGTGCTGGTGGCTATGGGAGCAGCACAACCCCTGTGCAGAGCTATCTGGGCACCACCACTTCATACCACACCAGTGCGTCCTCAGACTGCCAGCAGGCTTATCCCCATGCACAGCTCCAGACAGCACCCTGAGAACTTTTCCTTGGAGTTATTCCTTGAATTTAAGAGATTCCTTCAATTAAGAGAGAGAATTAAGAGACCCAGGTGCCAGGGTGAAGTTCTTCACGGAGTGGTGAGGTGCTGGAACAGGCTGCCCAGAAAGGTTGTGGATGCTCCATCCCTGGAGATGCTTAAGACCAGGTTAGATGTGCACTGGACAACCTGATCTAGTACGAGATCTGGAGGTTGGTGGCCCTGCCTTTGGCAGGGGGTTGGAATTTGATGATCTTTGGGGCCCCTTCCAACCCAAGCCCTTCTATGATCCCATGCATCCATTCCTTGAATTAAGAGATTCTCCCTTACTTATTGCCTGTAAGGTGCCTGTGACACAAGGTTGCCCTAAACCAACAACCAGCTGGGGTTAGCATGCACACTACTCAGCTTATTCCATTTTTTTTTCCCCCCAACAGAGATCAATGAGACCATAAGGACACCTGCTATCAAACAGCTTCTCATCACAAAACCTCAGACCTTTACCTGCATACAGCATCCCACATGTCAGGAGCAGATCCCAGGCTCTGAGCTCAAGGCTCTGTTAAAAACATACCCCAACACCCCTCCCCAAATCAAGTGGGCATTTCCCACTGCCTGCCTCAAATCCAGCCCTGTTCTACTTCTCATCATGCCCCTGATCCACGAGCAACCTGAGAACAGCAAGGGACAAATCCTTTGGCTGTTGGGCATCCACTGCCCACAGCCCAATGTCCTCGAGCACCAGGAGACAAAGAAAGGACTGGATTCCTGAAAGGATCCAATGGTGTTTTGAGAAAAATAGTTTTGTAATGCAGTGTCTTTAAAGTAAGTCTATGGAAGAGTAACTTTAATTAAAGAACTACTGAGAGAATGATTACTGAAGGTCAATTACGTGAATTGAAACACATAGCCTCTGCTTTACACGTTGCTTATAAAAACATACCGAGAAATGAGAGGCTGCAAAAATAAATGCATCATTTACCATCTAACAGGAAAGAAGAAACCAGAGGGAAAACATTCAACAAGAGAACAACTGGTACATGCAGGCCCATCAATCGCCTGATATGATTAGGCACCCAATTAGTCAAGAAATGTCTCCCCAAAGGTCAGCTCCTACTGATAAACAAAGGCAGGCAGCAATAAACAAAGTCCCACCCCAGCAGCAGCCTTCAGAGCCCACTGACAGACACAGCCAACAGGGCCAGCCCCAAGGACTGCATCCCACTGCAGTCCAACGCAACGCATCATCTTCCAGCTGGTTATTTCAGTAGTAGGTTACCAACAGGACACGAGGCCCCAAGTTGTGCCAGGGGACGATCAGGTTGGATATCAAAAATAATTTCTTCTCTGAAAAAGTGGTGCTGCAGTGGCACAGCTGCTCAGGTGATCCCTGGAGCTGCTCCAAAGCCATGGAGATGTAGCACTGAGGGATGTGGTTATGGGCATGGTGGGGTGGGCTGGGGTTGGACTAGGGGATCTCAGAGGACTTTTCCAACCTTACTGATTCTATTTGGGGCTAATGTTAAGAGCAGATTCCCAGATGTCTGAGTTGGGTACGGAAAGAGAAACTTGACAAGAAGCAACTGGGGCAAATCTCTCCTGCTGAAGTAGAAGAGGAGTGAGTATGACTGTGTTGCATCACTGGTGGAAGAAATAACAGGACAACAGAAAGCCCTAATGACAGGGAGCAAAGAAACACGGGCAATCTTTGGTGGGAGGTGGGGCAAAGTGTTGCAAATCCTCACAATCTTGGTGTAGCTGCCACTCATTATTGGGTGAATGTGAAGACAACATACAGGTAATGGGATGGTGGAGACAGGCCCAGGCAGAAACTGGTCTCAAGGGCTGGAATTAAGCAGAAAGAAGATTATCAGTATACCTATGGGTAGTGCCAGCAGATTAATGACACTGTCACCCCCTGTCCCTGCAGGCAGGGCAATGTGCCAACAGCACCCACAGCCTATAGGTGACCCCCCTGGGGCACTGCCTGTGGCTCAGGAGCGAGCTGCTCACATTCCCTGTCAGAACAGAACAGAAGCAATGCATTTTAAAAATAAATAACCACAAGGCTTTTCTACTCAAGCATGCATGAAATCAGCTTGCAGATTAACAAACACGGTTGTTAAAAATGAAACAAATGCACTTGGTTCTTATCAGGCAATCCTGCACTTAAGGCTGTCAATGGGACCTTGTGGCATAGAGAAAGGCTTGTCAAAGAACCACAGAATTACAGAATAATACCCCAAGTTGGATGGACCCACAAAGATCTCAACACCACCACCCAAAACACAAACCCTATGTCTGAGAGCACTGCCCAACCACTCCTTGAGCTCCAGCAACTCAGGGCCACGGTCCTGCAGATCCTTCCCCATCTCCATAGTTCTCCTCTGGATAATCTAATAGTTTAATGCCCTTTTCATACTGGCAGAGGGACTGAGGGGCTAATGCTGCAAAGTAATCCTTACAAACACACAGTGCTGTTTTACTAATAGATTATTTGTATTTGGTTGTACAATAGGGCCACAGGAGATTCTCCTAAGTACTAAAATCAAGAAATAAGAGCTTAAACCCTGAGAATTTAATGATCTAAAACACCAGGATATAAAAACAGACTGTGATGCTTTCTGCCCCACGTTTCCAGGAAAAACAACTCTGATTCACTTCAGAATAACACGTGTATAAAAGAAAGTTAATATAGCAACAAACCTTGGGAACGTGGAGAAAGCTCAGGAGCCCAACACATGGATGGCCAAGTGCTGGAGCAGGGCAGGGGGTGGCAAAGGAAAGGGGATGGAAGAGGAAACAAAATTTGTTTGCAAAGAAATACCTGGTGAAAGAGGATCCTTCCAAGAGCAAGGGAAAGGGACGAGGGGCACAAACTGAAGGACAGCAAATTGCATCACTGCCAGGGCAGTGTAACAACACGTTCTTCCAAAGTCTCTTTTGGGGGGAAGACCAAGGGCAGCACCTTCCCAGTGAGCAATTCAGTCCTTCAGAGAATGCTCCCTTTGGTCAGGCACAGGTTGCACAACAAAAGGGTCTGGGGTGGCAATGGGAAGCACACACTGTGCCTGAGCAGCCTCAGTACAGCAGGAGCCCTACCAACCTTCCTGCAGGCTGCAGTCGAGGGGAAGGCAGAAAACCAGCAGTTCAGACCTTTGTGAAGAACCAGGAGCACAGGGAAAGGAGCAGCCAGGTGTGCTAAAGCAAAGCTATGCAGGGCTGGGGAAGTCAGAATTAACTTGCAGAAGGTAATACAATAAAATCTGGGAGCGCATCACAGCAGCAGCATCCTGCTGCTCTGAGCCATTACATTAATCCAGCTGTGCAAATTGGGAGCATCCATCAGCAATTTTCAGCCTTTTCCTTGTGGAGATCGTGGCTGAAGAGCGTGCTCTACAAAAAGCTGACTTGTGAAAGGGAACACCCACATAACGGGCTATGAAAGGATTATTATTTTTGCAGTTAGGAACCTAATGAAGCTGCAGTCCCCCTGCAAGGCAAGGCACTGGGCTCTGCTGCGCAGGATCTCCTCCTCTGTCTCTACAAGGAGCACAGCAAGGCCACTGCAAGCAGGGCATGGGGCATTTACTGCCCAGCCTGGAAGGAAGGAAGGGATGCCATCCAGGGGGGCCCACTTTTCAAGCCTGCCCAGGTCCGTGTGAAGCAGAAGAGGCTCAACAAAGCCAAGCACACAGTGCTGCCCCTGGGTCAGGCAATGCCAGGTATGAATACAGACTGCAAGAACTCCTTGAGGGAGCCCTTGGAGAAGGACTTGGGGCCTCAGATAAAGGAAAGACTCAGTAATTATACACAAATAGCCTTCACCTTCCCAGACCTCCGCTACGATTATCACAGCAGAATTCCCTAAAATACAGCAGTGTTGGACTGTATGTAGTGGTCAAAGGCACCTTAATAGAGATTACTGACCAAGAAATATCTTCAAACAAGGAAAATGTTGAGCACGCCCTTGGTATGAATGGCTGCCCCTCCCCACGTCTTTCACTTTCCTCATTTGGAGGACACACAGCAGCAGACTGAGCAGGGGTACCACGACTTCTCAGTGCATTCTAAAATGATGTAGCAATGGTCATGCTTATATAACAAGGTCCAAAAAGGACCAGCTTGGCCTTCTGTGCCATAATGAACACCTCAGACACAGGAATGAAGAACCAACCTGGGGGAAAGCAGGATTTGCCCTGCAGGCAGCAGCAGGCAGCAGGCAGCCCTTCTTCCCAAACTATCCTACAAAG